AAAGAAAGGACCTTCATCCAAGATTAATCTATCCAGCAAAGCTATCATTAGAATGGAAGGGCAGATAAAGTGCTTACCAGATAAGGTCAGGTTAAAGGAGTTCATCATCACCAAGCCCTTATAATCTGAAATTGTCAAAAGGACTTATCTAAGAAAAAGATGAAAAATAGGAACAGTAAAATTACAACAAAGTCACACCTATTAACAAATGAATCTAAAACAAAAACAAAAACAAGCTAAGCAAACAACCAGAAGAGGAATAGAATCACAGAAATGAAGATCACATGGAAGGTTATCGGTGGGGATGGGGAGAGGGGAGAATAGGGGAAAAGGTACAATGATTAAGAAGCATATTTGATAGGCATAAAATAGAAAGGGGTAGGTTAAGAATAGTATAGGGAATAGAGAAGCCAAAGAACTTATATGTACAACCCATGGAGATGAACTAAGCGTGGGGGGAAATGCTTGGAGGGTGGGGGCGGTGCAGAGCAGAGGGGAATAAAGGGAGAAAATGAGACAACTGTAATACCATAATCAATAATATATATTTAAAAATTAACTCAGTTCCTTAGTTATACTAGCCATATGTCAAGTGCTCAACAGCCACAGGTGGCTAGTGGTACTGCTTCGGCCAGTACAGATACAGAACATTTTTGCTATTTCAGAAAATTCTTTTAGGCAATGATGGTCTTATTACTTATGTTCAAACTTCTTACAGAATCTTTTCTGTCTAAACTAGTTTTTGCTGACCACTTGATTTTGACAGGCTCTCACTATGTACTCTCTGGGGAAAGTGAATAATTATTGTCTGGGTTATTTTATAAAACTCAAGCTAGCCTGTTTTGACACCCACAATGTAAATATTCTCTTTGTTTATAGGTCACAAAGCTCACCATTAAAACAGAATATTTATTTACCATACTGACAAGGGAAATATTCCTTCTACCAGGGCAGAGAGGCTTGGGAGGAGTGAGGGCAACTGAGAGATCCCGAATAAGAGTTATTAAAACTCAAGAAAACCTGAGGGAGAAAAAAAGAAACTAAAGAACAAAAAGAGAATATTAGGAAAAATAATGTTCTATGACCAGGGTCCCTTGAGTTTACTCTCCACACCCGCTCCCTTGAGAACCAGTATTTCCTAGAGGACTGGGCCTGTCTTTATTCTCTGATTTCTTTAAGGAAGGATTTAAAATATTTTTTTTTAGTTTTAAAATTATTGTTGAATTACAGTTGTCCCCATCCCCCCAATACTCTCCCCCCTACTCCCCCACCTCCCACATTCAATCCTCCTCATCTCATTGTCTTTGTCCTTGGGTCCTTCATGCATGTTCTCAAGGAGAGATTTTCTTCCAAAGCTATTTCTCCCCAACTCACTCCTGGCCTCTCTTCATTGCTTTACTCATTTAAGTAAGGTGACTTTTTTGAATGATGAAACTAAGAAGTATAAAATGAGCTTCCCCATGTCCAGAACTTGCCCTGTGGGGGCCCCTCATGACCACCTTCACATGCAGAGCCCTCCCTGGAGAGTGGCTGAGAGGGACGTGGGGAACTCTGCCTTTCACAGTAGGGTTCAATTGGCAGGCACACTGGGGTCTCACATAAGTCTTTTCTTTGACCTGTGTTTCAATCAGTGACAAAGGCAAAATTTTGGCTTCCATCTGCCATTCTTTGTCCTATTTCTCCATTTTTTTTAGAATTCAAGTAGGAAAGAGAAATGCTGTTTATTGGATATTCCCACAGACCACACAGTCTTGGTAAAGAGTTTTTCATGGCTGCTCCATGCTTGTTTTGGGCTGCACTTGTGCCTTGGCCCGCAATTTAGCATGTGTCTGACTCTCAAAGTTGCAAGCATATCCAGCCAGATGTTTGTGTAGATTCTACTACATGGCAGTGGTGAAGTTGATAGAAGCTGACACAGTTTAAATTGAGGTTTAAAGGAAAATAGAATTTTTAATAGAAATAGAGGATAGGATGCTAGAGAAAAACTGATCTGGGAAGCTCAAGAGATGTTCAGGAAGGGAGTGTAAAACCCCCTTCCACAGGTTTCATGCAAGGACATGAGAGAAAAGTCTACACTTACAGGGGTGTCTAACCTTTTGACATCTCTGGGCCACACTGGAAGAAGAGCTATCTTGGGCCACACAGTAAATACATTGTGACATGTAATCACAAAAAGATCTCATAATGTTTTTAGTAAATTTATAACCTTATGTTGGGCCACATTCACAGCCATCCTGAACCACATGCAGCCCATGGGCTGCAGCTTGGACACCCCTGGTACAGAGGTAGGGATCACCAATTGGTGATACTTCTCTTCACCTGAAAATCATTCAACAACTTTGCTCATATTTTTTAATTGAGATGTAATTGACATATAACATTGTTAGTTTCAGATGTACAACATAATGATTTGATATTTGTATATGTTATGAAATGGTCATTGCAATAAGTCTACATAACATTCATTACTATACATAGTTACAAAAAATTTTGCGTGTGATGATTGGTGTAGTTTTAATTCGCATGTCCCCAGTGACTAATGTGCACAGGAGCCATTCATACTTGGAATCCTTTTAAGGGAAGAAATACTTAATTATGAAAGATAGAAACATAAAATCAATAGGTATGGACCATGGAGCTGTGTTGCCCTCTGATATGTCGAGATAGGAATGGCAGCCCAGTTGGAGACCTATCTGAATAATTCAGAAGGGACGACCCCTCCTTTGAGTGGGGGAGCAGATATGGTTGGTGATGGGGCCCAGTTCTCTGATGGTTGCCCACAGTGAATTCACTAGGGAGTTGTTTGTCTCTTCATTTTAAATTATCTATGCAAATGTTGTTCATATCTGGTGTTTTCAGAGTAGACTTGGTTTTGGAGACCACTCAGTTTTGTTTAACTGCTCCATGTTGATAATAGCACCTCATACATCATGTGCCAAAGAAAATATGCCAAAGCCTTATTTTCTGTATTCTTTCCAGACAGAACAAAGCTAGCAGCAACTCCATTTAATGTATTTTCCCTTACATATAACAGTAGTATTGTTGGGAATGGATGCAGGCACCAGCTTTAAGGAACTCCCAAATCTGGGACACTTTGCAAGAAAATAAATAATGGCAATAATATATTATGACCCACAGAATAAAGTAAATATCCACAAATTCATGTCGAAATAAATATGAAATAAATACATAATCAAAAAAATAAAGAAGCAGGTCTTTGAAGAAGGGACAGTGCTTCCTTACAGCAGAATTCCAATCATTAAAACTGAAGGGAGTGATCAGAATAGAAAATGACCATTTAGCACATATCACACTGATGGACTATGGGTGGATGCAGAAAGGACTGGGCCGAAATATGACATGACACAGGATATTTGCAAAGTCTCAAAGTATCTCTGCACAAGATACTTCTTCATTTCAAAGGGAAAAATAGTAACTGCAGTAGAGAAACCTAGCAGTGATCAAGGTAAACATAACCAGCAATGGAGCATACTGACACCATATACTCCTGATATAATGCACTGAGAAGGGTACAAGAGAAATTCTGTGGTATTCCCTCCAGAAAACTTCATCCTTATTATGAGAAAGCATCAGACAGACTAACAGTGGGTTCTAGAGCCATTCCACCTCTGTTCAAACCTTGCTACCCTATTTACTAGTTGTGTGACTTTCAGCGTATCACTTCATCTCCCCTTGCCTCAGTTTTCTTATTTGTAAAATAAAGATTAAAAAGTAGCACCTACCTCAAAGTGCTGTAATAAGAGTTAAAAATATTAATACATGTACAATGCCTAGAACAGTGCTAAAGTAAGGACTACATTATTACCTGCAACTATCATGTAAGACTGACAGAGTCTTCTGCTCATCTTAGAGATATGTATTTTCTAATTTTTTCTTCTTCTCACTGTGGTCATCTTAGAGATATGTCTTTTAAAAATTTTTTCTCCCTCTGACTTTCTGATTGATGCAGGTCTGTGCTGATTCCTTCTCCAACCTGCCATTTGGCTCTAAAAGCGTGTCCCCTCCACCACTCACCAGGTCAAGCCAAATTTAGCACTACAGTCTGTTGCTTAAGAATCATTTACTTTTGTCCACAATCACGATTTACAATAGCCAAGTGCTGGAAGCAACCTAAATGCCCAACAGTAAATGAGTGGATCAAAAATCTGTGGTACATTTACACAATGGAATACTACACAGCAAAAAGAAAGAAGGGGCTTCTGCCCTTCTCAACAGCATGGATGGGTCTGGAGATCATTATACTAAGTGAAATAAGCCAGGTGGTGAAAGACAAACACTATATGATTTCATCTATAAGTTGAACCTAATCAACAAAACAAACAGTCAAGCAAAATATAACCAGAGACATTGAAATTCAGAACAAACTGATAGTAACCACTGGGGAGATGGGAGGGGATAATGGGATTTCAGGAACAACTGTAAAAGGACCCATGGACAAAGCCAAAGGGGGAAGGACTGAGGGTGGTAGGTGGGGGTGGGTGGGATGGGGGGAAAGTGGTGGAGGGAAAATGGAGACAATTGTACTTGAACAACAACAACAACAATCAATCAATCAATCAGTGAAAAGAAAGAGAAAGAATCAACTACTTTTAAAGGAATCAGAATAACTGCTCTCTCAGTTAGGGCTGCTACTGGGAGATGCCTGCATTGGAAAGACAGAGCTCATGTCACCAAAGTACCTTCTTGAGCCAGTTTCCCTTATTTCCACCAAGGGGTCCAGAACTTTCTGGGCTTGTAAGACCAATAGCTCTAATTGGTTTGAGGGGTGGTGGTGTGGATCTGCCTCATAATTACCTGTTTGAGTCCTCCCCCCATGTCATATTTTAGCATCTGTTTAGCCAATAAGACTGCAGCACATGAACCAGCCTCATTCCCTGTTTGGGCCTTACCTTTGATGTCACAATCTGACCTGCAGATATTAATCTGGCCACAGTGGCCTACTAACCAGATGGCAAGGTCAAGAGGACCAGCACAGTAAGATGTGGAAGAGAACTGACCATCAACACAAGATCAAAGCAGGAGATGGACCTCAGGCATGTCAGTGCAAAGACATGGGCTCAGCTTGGGAACCTGCCATGCCACACCCTCTAGAGCTTTCAGAATTCCAGAGCTTCCAGGTGTTTGAGGACATTAGATATTATGTCAAAGAAGTGGGGGCCCAGCTGGTAAAGAAAGTCAATGCCATCTTTCAGCTGGACATCACCAAAAATGGGAAGATTGTTCTGCAGTGGACCATTGATCTGAAGAATGGTTCTGGGGACATGTATCCAGGGTCTGCCAGGCTCCCAGCAGATACCATCTTCACAATTCCAGAACCTGTCTTCATGGAGTTGGTTTTAGGCAAAATAAACCCTCAGAAGGCTTTTCTTGCCGGCAAGTTCAAAGTGAGCGGCAAAGTTCTACTTGGCCGGAAGTTGGAGAGGCTGTTCAAAGACTGGGCTAAATGTTAAGCATGCAAAATACCAAGGAAATGATGAGGACCTCTCTTTGGTTATAATGTGGAGCAGAAATCATGCTTAAACTGAAGATTAAAACAAAAAATATCTCATATTTTTACTCAAATTCTTCCTATTCAAGTTTGATTATTTTTCCTGCTAGTGTGTACATTTGCAGCGATGGTTATAGAGCAGTAAAGAGTATTGGAGTGGTACATCACCTAAAATCTTTCTATTTTCTTATATTTATTTATACCGAAATATAATAGGGTGAAATCCACATGTAGAAAAATGGGATGTTTTGGCAGTTGGATTTAAATGGTTTTATGATTGAGTTCCTGCCTGATTCCTAGTTTTTCTTAGTTTGGTGTTTTGGGGAAATAGTGATGACCATTAGTGAGTAAGTTTGGACTTCAGTTGGTAACTTGGTTCTCTGAGGAGACTAGTACAGGCTTGCAGAATTGTAAGAAAGTAGAACAGGCAGTAGAAGTGATAGTGTATGATGACTTCTGATGGATTCAATTTTGAGTGAGTTGAAGGACTTGAAAGGTGTTTTAGGCCACTGTTTCTTAAACTGGAGCATACATCAGATCATCTGCAGGGCTGGTGAAAGCCCAGAGTGCTGGGCCCCAATTGGATATTTAACTCTGTAGGTATGGGTTGGGGAGAATGTGCCTTTCTAATAAGTTCCCAGGTGATGTTGATGGGAGCATCCTTGAAGAATGCCTGCTCTGGTTCGTGCTGCAGCTTTCAGTATTGATTATAATAACTGTCTTATTCTAGATTAGTGAGATGTTGTCCTTTTTAAAGGATCTCCTGGAGACAGATTATAAAGCACTCTTGTGGACCATTTTTGAAGTGTCAGGAGCTTGTGCAGTGAACATTTACAAAGTTGAAGGTCATCCTGGGAAGTTTTCCCCTCCGGAAGCCCTTTTCATGTATTGGGAGGACTGGGATGAAGCTGGCTGCCTAATGTAACCTCCTCATCGGTGAATATGTATGTCATGTGTTCCTGTGTAATCTGTGTGTACCTTTATTTGTTAGGCTAAATATACACAGTGTGGACACTCTTAAACCCCACAAGGAAGTGTTGTTAAATTGAGCATGCTTACCTAATGATCCACTTATTCCTTTCTTAAGTATTTTCCCCAAGAGGAAGGAAAGCATATGTACAACTACAAAAATCTGTATGTGAATGTTCATAGCTGTCATAGTGCCAAACTAGGAATAAACCAAATGTCCATCAACAGGTGAATAAATGAACAAATTTTGGTATGTTAGATCATGGAATACTACTTAGCAATAAAAAGGAATGAATTATTGATATATATGCACAATAACACAATTGAGTATCAAAATAATTCTTCTGAAAGGACCAGAAAAAAAACAAGTAGATACAATATGATTCTATTTATGTAACATACTAGAAAAGGCAAAAAAAAAATAGAAAAGGCAAACTCTAGTGACAGAAAGATCAATGGCTGCCATGACATGGAAATGGGAAGTATGGGGGGAAGGGGTGTTTACAGTGGCCATGAGGAATCTTGAGGCGATGATAAATTCATTATCTTAATTGTGGTGATGGATTAATAGGTTTATATATAGATCAAACAGCGAATTATATACTATATATACATATGCAATTTATTGTGTCAATATAAGCTAAATAAAAGTTGCTGCCCTCCATTCAAAATGTAGGTTTTATAAAGAGTATTTAAAATTCTACCCTTTCAGCACAAGGAATACTCTGACCTCATTATGTGTCTGCCTTTCCAACCCCTTGTTGATTTGGGCAGTTCTGCAGAGGCCTCCCTAAACTGTCCATGGCAGAAAGAGGCAGAGTGAATGCTCATTGCTAACAAAATGGTCTCAGTGGGAAACCAAGAGACCTTTTGTTCAATTTGCTCAACTTCAGGTGAAGCATTGCTGAGCATGAGTGGGGACATGGAGCACTCCCTGGTTCCTTTGCTCACCTGGGTCAGCCTGTAGGGGACCCATATGCTGTTTTTACCATTGCCGCTGCAGGCCAGTGGTGGATGTTTCAGAGGCTTTAGACTGATTGCATGTACTGTCATGAATGCTTATTTTGCCTGGTGCAAGCATTCCATTCAAGACATATTTATGAACATCAAACAAGTCTCAGCAGGTGTTTGGGTACTGTTTTCAGAAAGAGCTTTCCTGAGTGGTTCTGTTAGTACCATGAGTAATTTTGGGGGATTAGCCCTGAGACATAAATTGCTTACTGATAGATTAGAGGGTAGAGGGGGATGGGAAAGAGAGAGGGGTTACAGAGGGTCATGCCTTGGCAGGCATCTGACCAAAGGGAGGCCCACCCCAGGCTGACCCGCCATTCATTATGCCTTGGGACAAAAACATGATCTTAACCAATTAGATTCCTGTCTCAGAAATTTGGAACTGGGAAGCCAAGAGACTGAGCTACAAGTGAACAGTGGGAATGGCCTCTGAAAGGATGGGCTGTAGACAGACTGAGGGAGGTGCTGTGGGATGGAGGAGCAGACACCACAGTAGGAGCTAGAGAGAAGGAAGAGCAGCAGCCTTGAATCAAGAGAGGTAGCTGGTTGATTGAGGTGAAGCCAGGCCTTGGGAAACATGACAGCAAAGCCCTCTTCAATGAAAAGGATCACATAGCTTGATACGGAGTACCATGTGTAGCAATTGGAAATACTCAGATTATGGAATCAGACACGGAGTTTTGAGCCCAGTGTCAGCACTTCATATCCATGTAACCACAGACAATTGTGGAGCCACTCTGCTCCTCATCTGCCTTGCCTGGAAATGGGGCCAGTGGCCCTTATGACATCAAGTGGTTGGGAAGTGCCAGGAAGGTCAGGCCTGGCATAGTCAACAATTTTCCATGTATGTAACTTCCCTTTTTCTTCTGGTTGAGAGGAAAGGCGGGACTATCACTGGCTCCCTATTATCTCCTGAAAAAGCCACATTTGGCTTTCACACTATTCAGAGACCTTCTGCCTTGCCTCTTATACTCAGTGGATGCCCTAGAAGGTCACATATGGCTGAAAACACACATTTCTGTGTTGCTTGGTATCCCTAGAAAAGTGTATAAAGTTTGAATAAGGACTTTTAAAATAAGAATTGGATTTCTGGGTTCTCTCAAAAAATTGGATTTTGGAGCCACACTGATCTTATATTCCTGCCAAGCAAAAAATAGCTCAGGGGATGGGGAGTGGGATGGGATCTCCAAACAGGCCCACCCCACCTTCCATGCTGCCTCTTTGAGTGCCAGGTTGGGTCTTTGGCGGCCCTTCATCACTGAGCTTACACTGTTGTTTCTCTAGCTGGGCCTACTTTGCTGGGCCCCATAGATGTTTGCATTCATGACCACAGCACCCCCCATAAATGCTCTTACTCTTCCCCCTCACTCAAATATTCTGTGTTAGTTTTCTATTGCTGTGTAACAAATGGCCACAGATTTAGTCCCTTAAAACAGCACCTGTTCATTTTCTCCCAGTTGCTGCAGGTCATAAGTCAGGGTAATTTCAGCTGGGTTCTCTGTTTTGATCACATGTTACAGCCTGAAACCGAGGTGTTGGCCAGGCTGATGTCTCATCTGGGGAAAGAATCTTCTCCAAGCTAATTTGGGTTGTAGTCTAATTTAGTTCTTTGGGTTGTAGTACTGAGGTCCCTGTTTCTTCAGTGTTTATCAGCCAAAGATGCTCTCTCAGCTCCTGGAAGCCGCCCACATTCTTGGTCATGTGCCTTCTCCATCTGCAAAGCCAACGATGACACATGAGACCCTTCTCAGGTTTCAAATCTCTCTGAGATCCTCTGCCTTCATTTTCTGCCTCTACTTGAAAGGACTTGACTGATTACATTGGTCCCACTCAGATAATCCAGAATAATCTCCTTATCTTAATGTCAAATGACTAGTTACTTTAGTTACATCTGAAAAGTCACTTTTGCCATGTAAAGTAATGAATGCTATGGACTGAATAATTATGCCCCTCCACCCAAATTCATATGCACTCTCTTTCTTCACCATGTGAAGATACAGCAAGAAGGTCCCAACTACAGACCAAGAAGAGAGTTCTCACCAGAACCTGACCACTCCAGCACTCTGATCTCAGACTTGCAACCTCCAGAACTGGTGAAATAAATACCTGTTGTATAAGATACCAAGTCTACAGTATTTTATTATAGCAGCATGTGCTAAGACAGATAATGCATTCGTGGGCATAATTTATTATCTTTTAATACTCCTAGGGGTTAAGTATAGAATCTTCTTTGCAGCCTTAACTCTGCCTATCATCCCCTCCTGAATCTACCATCTAAATCCACCTACTCTTTAGGTCCTCCTCCATGAAGCCGCCCTGTTCAGTTGTCGTCTTCTCCCATAGTTCTTATGCCTCTCTTTCTCCCAGTGTTCTGACTGGGTGGGTATTATCCTATCTGAGCCAATCAAATATTGCTTTGCCCAGGGCAGCCTCGTTTTACACTTCTGTTGTGATGTTTCATTAGTGGTATCTCCTTCCTCTGAAGGGTCTCAGTTTGGATGACTGGTTATATGGCTGACCTAAGCACCTGCCAGTGTGCTCCAGAGGGTGGCATTAGTTGGCCTTGCCTGGTTTTGCCTTGTCTCACTCTCTCAATTCTTGACATCCACTGTACACTCCACAGTTGTTTGTTGAATGAATTAAAGAAGTCAATGAGGAGAACATTGGCAAGAAAATCTCAGATATTTCACGCAGCAACATTTTTACTGATATGTCCCCTAGAGCAAGGAATATAAAGGAAAGAATAAATAAATGGGATCTCATCAAAATAAAAAGCTTCTGCATGGCTAAAGAAAACAGTATTAAATTAAAAAGACAACCAACTGTATGAGAAAACATATTTGCCAATGATACCTCAGACAAAGGTTTAATCTCCAAAATATACAAAGAATTTACACGACTCCATTCTAGGAAGACATCTAACCCAATTAAAAAATGGGAAAAGGACTTGAACAGACACTTCTCCAAAGAGGACATACAGAA